CCAGACTACCTCACAAGGAGGGGACTTCTTACTCCTTCTAGCATAGGAATTCTCAGTAAGCTGGCAGAGCTAATGAGATTTGATTCCCTACCTCCTTTCCTTTGGTAAGCATGTAATAAGCACCAGGAATTGCATGGAATTGGGAATATAGAAATGACAAAAATAAGAACACAGTAGTATGGATGGCAAGTATATAAGTAATATCTATTATATAAAGTTTTATTGTATAAAAATACAGATTCTGAATCTGTAGAATATATGAAGTGTTATGGGGATACATGGATGAAAGAACCAGCATCCTACCATGATTTTAAGCAGACATTTTTTTTTGTAATAAAATATTGTAATATTTTCTGTCTTTGTATTAAATATAAATACTTGAGCATTTCTTAAGTAACCTTATTTTCAACTATAACTGCATTTGTAGTTAGGCTGGTCTCAGATTGCTCATGTGTGTTTTATCTTCCACATTTGGTTACCGAGGCATAGTTTATGAAGCAATTTAACATATAAGAGCTTATTTGAGTCTTAAAGGGCTCAGTAGAAATATCAGGGGAGAGTTTATTATTCTTACCATGGAGAATAGTTATGGTGATTTTACTGATCAGGTGCCATAGCTTTACCATGATATGATCTTGCAGTACAACTACCAGGAGGTTTTGACCTGTATGTTGCTTAGATGTCATTGTCGATGGGGACAAGCAAGGTGTTACTTCCTAAATGCTTTTTCACTGTTGGTAGCAGCATATTAAACACAGTATCTTCAGAATATTAGTCTAATACTATGTCTAGTTCAAAGATCATAACTTGGCTTTGTCTTGAGTCTTTTTTGTCCTTCTTAGTGTAATTTTCTTAATTCTTGGTGGTGTGGAGAAGATTCCAAGCAAAGGATATTAAAAAGGAAATGGCAACTTGGACAGGCTAAAAGATGTGGGCATGATTACTGGCTAGTACAAATTAAATCTCAATTAGAGCTCATTGCTTTTAACTCCTTGTTAAGAATGCTCTGTTACAGCAAATCTACCACTGAGATGCTTAGAAATGTTACTTAGTTGGTGTTCAAAGACTTAACTGACTGGTTGACATCACTGTTACTATTCGTACTATATTTCTTATAGTAGAAAAAATGCTGAAATACAGTGAATAGCTTATATGAAGTGGGAAAATGTGTTAGATGATTAAGTTTTGTAACTGGTTTATCACAGTATTCATCTCTTGTGATATTCCATAGCCCTTTGTTGATATTATGCTTATGTCTACTCTTACATAAACCTTATTTTGTAGGTTTCTGGTTAACTTTATCACAGAAGCCCCTTTTGCTTTGATAAGAACCATTTTTTTCACAATGCCTTCAAATAATTGTCACTAAGAACTTGTTGAACAAATAAATAAATGAATCTTATAGAGCTTTATAAAGCATGGTTATGTATTTTACCTTTGACATAGATATAGAATAGTATTATAATATTAAACAGTATTGTATGCTGTAACAATATTATACATATTATGAGCCTAAACAAAAAAAAAGTTCATGTAAGTCTCATAAGTTAAAAATAACCCTAATGAAGGAAATAACCTTAATAATTTAACTAGAGATATCTATGCTTTATGTGTGGCCTATCCTGAACCTCTTGGGGAAAGACTTTATACAGAAACTAAGATTTTTTTGGAAAATCACGTCCGGCATTTGCACAAGGTAAGGACTATACATACATGATATAAATATCTTTATACTTACATGGCTATTGACTGGCACACTACTTTCCTTTTTTTAATTTTTTTTTTTTTTTTTTTTAGTTATAGGTGGACACAGTATCTTTATTTTATTTTAATGTGGTGCTGAGGATCGAACCCAGTGCCTCTCGCATGCTAGGCCAGCGCTATACCTCTGATCCACAACCCCAGCCCTGGCACACTACTTTCCAATGCAAAACTTATGAATTCAAGTTTGTATCTTGTTTCTTAAATAGCATTTTTCTATTTTTACATTTATCCATGAGTCAAACACGATGCTATTGTGTTCTATAGGGGAAATTAGTTTAGTTGTTCAAGATCATGTAACTAGTATGTGAAAGAGCAAAATCAACTGAATTTAAAAGTGCTTTTTACATTCTTTGGATGGTGTTTATGCAAGTAAATTTCTCCTTACCTTTTGAATATACCAATCTCTTGGTAAATCTCTCTTTATTTTTAACCTTTTAGCTGCTTCTTCACATTCTATATAAAGTCTTCAAAAAACATAAAATTGAAGAGAATCAGTAAGTTAAAAAGCATTGTAAAAAGCTGTCTTTCTGACCAGTTCTTTTTTTTCTTTTTTTGGTACCAGGGATTGATTCCCGAGATTCTTAACTACTGAGCCATATCCCTAGGCCTTTTTATTTTTTATTTTTGAGACAGAGTCTTGCTAAGTTGGTTAGGGCCTCATTAAGTTGCTGAGACTGGCTTTAAACTTGGGTTATTTCTGCCCCAGCCTCCTGAGGTGCTGGGATTACAGGTTTGTGCCACCTGTCTTTGACCAGTTATTTTGGTTAGTGTTCTGTATGTGAGAGCAAAATCATGGATTTGATCTGTGCATAAACAATGAATGCTACAGTGTTTTTCTGTGGATAGCATTTCTAAATTAATTTGGATTCCTGATCTTATCAGGAACTGGGGGGAGATAACTTATTGCCTATGCTAGAATCTTCATTCTACTTTTTGTTAGCTGTTGCTACAATTGTGGAAACTCACAATTACCTTGTGTAGTAAATTTTAAGTTTACTAATCTATGAAATAGAATAAAACAATCTTCATAAAACAATAAAACAATCTTCAAAAAGCATCTAACCCTGCATATGACCAAGAAGAGAAACTTTTTAAAATGTAACAACTCAAAAGTAGGTGCAATTCATCATGTGCTATCCTTAAAACTTTTGAAGGAATTGATATACTTTTTGTTGTTGTATTTATTGTATTGTCTGTGGCATGTACATTTTAATGTTCTGATGTGTGCATTTATCAGGTCATTAAAGTGCTTTTGATAGCAAGTACTCTAAAGTGGTCTTAATGTTTAATATATTAAATTATTAAAAAAGTTATTTCATTGTAAGCTAGTGAGCTTTGGTTATAACATAATTGATAACTTTGTAAGACATGTATAAATTTTGTGATTTTTATATTTTAGATTAGGTTATGTGATTATTTTTAAAAAAACTTTTAGATTTTGAAATAATTTTAAACTTAAAAGTTGTAAGCATAGTATGGGGAGTTCTTGTATATTTTACCCAGATTCTTAAGGTTAAAATCTCGTACAACAGTATGGTTATTAAAGCCAAGAAGTAAATATTTATATAATTTTGTGATTTAAAAATGATATTCTGGGCCAGTGGTATAGCTCATTAATAGAATGCTTGCGTATATGTGAGTCCCTGGATTTTATATCTAGCACTGCCAAAAAAAAAAAAAAGGGGCAAAGCAGTTTTATGACAGTTTACAATACTTAAGTAGTTATATACTATATGTTCTCTCAGATCCTATGAAACAGAAAAGTTGGTTGATGTGTATATGACAGAAATGCATTATTATACAGCAGCAAAATTCAAACAGTTTTACCCGTGAGGAGAAAATTTCACTTGTTTAGGAGAAGGAACTTTTTTCATTACCATAATATTGTATTACCATGACAGATGACTTATACAGATTAGAAAATGTAGAATATAAATATCACATGACATACTTTCAGAATTAACCACTGTTAATATTTTAATAAGTCTGTACTTAAACATATATATTTTTTACATATTAATATTTTTAATTTTTCATATGCCTGCCTTTGGTATAGTTTTGCTTCATATAAGCTCCCCCAACCCTTTTAATTTTTTTTATTTTGAGGAAATGTCTTGCTAAAATGCTGAGGCTGGCCTTGAACTTGGCGTTCCTCCTGCTTCAGCCTCCCAAGCCTTAGGCTTCTTTGTTAGAAAGTAAAGTCTACTTACTTTGATAATCTCTTTTGCTTTTGATAATACTGCAGATCTCCTTTTTCATTAAATATATCTGTAATTCTGACGATTTCTAAATTTTTCATTGTATAGAGATGCTATGGTTGAAATATTCTCATTGCTGGGTAGATAATTTCCATTTTATATAATTTGTTACTATAAAAGTACTCTGAACATTCTTGTGTAACCATAAGATTTTGGGGAGAGGTGGGTGCTGGAGATTGAACCCAAGATCTTATATGTGCTAAACATGCCCTTTGCCACTGAGCCATACCTTTAACCCCTATGATTTTTATAGGCTCAGTTTTTAGCCATGGAATCAAACACAGTCTCCTGAGCCACTGGGATGACTGATGTGTTCCACCTTCTTGAAGAAGATGCTGTTTTTAATTTACTAATTTGATAAGACAGAAAGCGCTATTTGTGGTTTTTTTTAAATTATTCTAAGCCTTAATTGTTAAAATCCTAGTTTTAAAAACATGATACTTCATCAAAGAATTAATCAGATATAAATTGAAGTCATGTCTTACTTGAGGTCATGTGGGCAGTTAATGAAAGAATTGAGATCAGAGCACCCAAGATCTTCTGAATATTCAGTGTTCTTGCATTATTTTATAGGTGAGGTTTTTTTTAAGCCAGAGTCTGACAAGTTTCATATATTTTATATGGGATCCCCCCTTTCATTTTTGCTATGCTAATAGCAAAAATGATGAAATATATAAAAGGTACCAATTTCTATAAATAGTCTTATTCACAAAAATGAGGTGATGACATATTTATATAACTAATAGATTGATCAGAGGTAATGGGTATGAGGAAACAGATATGACAATAGAATTATATTTTTCTATTTTACACTGATTGTATCCATCTATCCCAGAGACAAAAATCAAACCATTATTTTTTGTCCTTTTATCTTGAGGAATGAAACAGTTTCTTTGAAGGCTTCCCTTTCATGTCTTAGGTTCGCATTTTCCCCCAGTTGTTTTATTTGTACTAAAGGTAGTTATATTTAAAAATAATTTGTAAGTGTAATTTATAGTGCTTGATTTATGTAAGTTATTTTAGAATATTTTGATGTGTTTTATAGTTTACAGTGAAAATTATTAGTACTATTTAAGTAAAAAAATTCTTTTCTCTTAATATAGAGAGTACTGGAGTCTGAAGAACAAGTTCTTGTTATGTATCATAGATACTGGGAAGAATACAGCAAGGGTGCAGATTATATGGACTGTTTATATAGGTAAGTATACTTTTAAAAACTTAATAATGCAAACAGTACTACCTGCATTCAATACTTGAAAGATAATTTTTTATTACCTATTTTTCACTGAAATGGGCAGAATTAAATTGTCCTCTTTTACATGGAGTTTCCTTACTACTAGAAAAGGTCTAGAGTTTAAGTCCTGTGGGTATTTGGGAGCTAGGTAGAAAGTTATTCAGTAGAAAAGTAAAACTTGTATGTAACAACATAACTCTGTTTTTGGAAACTATACCACTTGTTAAATCTCAACAGAGATCATTGTAAAAATTCAGTTTGGATGAAACTTAGTGGAATGAATTTAAGAATACGTCTCCTTTTTTTTTTTTTTTTGTGGTGCTGAGGATGGAACCTAGGGCCTCATGGATGTAGGCATTCACTGTAACCACTGAGCTATACCCCCAGCCCTATAAGTTCTCTTTTGACTTTAGCATTTAGTACTTTGTTTCATGGAAACACTTAGTTAAAGCATCAGAAATGCTCAGTAGTTTTCCTCTTAAGTTCTCCTACCCTGTGTTTCATGTATATTGAATTACCTGTATTTTTATACTGCTCCATGGTCTCTTACATCTTCCCATGTTTCCCCATACTATTCCATCTATCTGGATTGCTTTTTTCCTTTCTTTGGATGACAGGTTATGACAAGGTCTTCTGATATTCCCTGTTTTTTTTTTTTTGTTTTTAAGTACAGGGTCTCCCTAAGACAGTGTTGCATTACATAATAATAAGAATGTATTCTGAGAAATATGTCTTTGGGTGGTTTCATTGTGCAAACATCATAGCCTATATATACTCAAATTAAGATGACTATGATGTCACTAAGCAATATACTCTTAGGAACCGCTGTTGTATATGTGATCTGTCATTGACCAAAAATATTGTTATGCTGTGTATGATTACTTATCCATGTAAGGCAGAGGCCTATTTATTGAGGAATAGTTGATAAGTAAAGAATAATGGCATTAATGCCTGATTCTTTAACCCTTGGTCCTAAGATGTCTTCTCTCGAAATAAATGATTATGGCTTTTAGTGGTTACAGTGATAATTTTGCCTCATATGTGGCATGGACCACAGATGGGCCACTTCTTCAGTTTCCCATTGGAGAGAAATGAAGGAGTTGAGCTGGGTCTCCACATACTATCTGTTAGCCCCACCATACTTTGTAGTAGTACCTTATTGTAAGACCAGCACTCAGCTCTCATGGCTTGTTTTCCTTTTTGCCTCACTAGTTCGTATTCCCAAAAGCTTTTATAACAGAACTGGAGTTTATTCATTCTGAGTTGCTTATATTAGAAACTTGACTTGCTTTTCAGTGACTCAGTGGCATTGGGAAGAGTGAAATATAATAAAATGAGAAACTAGTTGCTGTCAAGCACAGATTTACTGTGGCTTTGGCTTTCATAGAACAGTGTTTGTTGTACATTAAACATCTTGACATTTGATTTTCTTCCTTAATCAAAAAGTTAAGAGTTCCCTAGCTAAGGTCTGAGGGTATAGATCAGTGCTAGCTTGCTGAGCATGAGTTAGGCCCTGGATTTGATCCTCACCACTACAAACAAAATAAAACAAATTACAAAATAAAAAATTTTCCAGCGAAATCATAGAGGAGTATTGCAAATTTTAAGGATAAGGGTTAGTGTGTATGCATGCTTTTGTCATTGTTGGGATGAGTGGGCCTTAGAAGAAAGTGTTTAGCTTGTATCATGCAGTGGTATCCCTTCTTAGCTGATGTATTATAGTAAAGCTTTAAGTTGTTTTTCTGTTTGTTAGTGTGGTAGGACATAATTTGCTTGTGTGTACTAAATATCAATTAATTTAGAGCTATTTAAATTACTGCTGTTATACTGATGCTAGTTTTGAGTATTTAGTAAATGTTGCAATATATAAGATATACACCCATGTGTGTATGTGTTTGTGTAAAACCATATGAGGTAGTCAGTATCTCCATTTTTACAGTGGAGGAAATGAAGGCTTGAAGAGGTTAATGACTTTGCTGAAGATCACTCAGCTAATGAGTGAGAGGCAGAATTTAAACCCAGGTCAGTCTGATTTCAAAGCTCATGTTTTAACCTCTTCATTCTACCCTGGTCTTATTCCACATACAGAAATTTTTGGTCACTTAAGTAGATTCTGTTCTCATCATTTTCTTATACTACACATTTTTTTCTGGGGTGAATTAAATTATTCGTGGTTTTAGCTACAACTTATTCGTACCAAAGTATATGTTTATCCCAGGTAGCCTAAGTTTAAAAGAAGTGTTTTTTTGTTGTTTGTTTTATTTTGTTGTTTTTTTAAAACCAAAATGCCTATCCCTTCAGATTGTCCCATGGGTACATTATACTATTGTATATATTAAAAACTGAGCTTATTATCCTCCCTCCTTAACCCAGTAGTACTGGGGATTAAACTCAGTAGCACTCGACCACTGAGCACCATCCCCAGCGCGCCCCCCCCTTTTTTTCTTTTTAAATTTTATCTTGACAGGATCTCACTAAGTTTCTCACACTGGCTTTCAATTTGCAGTTCTCCTACCTCATACTCCCAAGTCATTGATTTCTCATTTATTCTATCTGGAAAGCTTTTTGTATTATCTTTTCTAAAGTGCAAATTTGATGACTCTCTAAAATCATTTAGTAACTTTCCACTGTTGGTAGCAAAGACTTAGAGCTGATGGCCTGTGGGATTCAGTTAACAGTGTTTTGCTTGGCCTCTCTGGTGTTGGCATCATGTGATTGCTTTTTATTTATTTAATTATATTGGTAGAGTAAGTGTTGACCCTTTTCACAGAGGACATGGTTGGCAGTAATCAGATGAAAACTGCTTAATAGTTTTGCTTATTGGTAGAGTAAGTGTTGACACCCTTTTCACAGAAGAATGGTTGGCAGTAATCAGATGAAAACTACTTAATAGTTTTGCTTGCTTGGTAGTTTGGTTATGACTGTTGCTAGTTACCATCTAACAAAATGTAAAGAGGAAAAATTTGAGATTTATTTCAAAAGCATTTAATTAATTAATTAATTAATTAATTTTGTTTGTGTGTTTGCTGAGGATTGAATTCAGGGGCTTAAACCTCTGAGCCATATCCTCAGCCCTTTTTTGGTGGAAAGGGGTGTCCTGATTGAACTCAGGGGCACTTGATTACTGAGCCACATCCCCAGCCCTATTTTGTAATTTATTTTGAGATAGGTTCTCATTGAGTTGCTTCGCCCCTCACTTCTGCTGAGACTGGCTTTGAACTTGCCATCCTCCTGTCTCAGCCTCCTGAGCTGTTGAGATATAGGCACCTTCGCACCTGGCTATTTTTATTATTTTTATGAAGTATTTCTAGTCTCTTCTTTACTATGATTGATTGATAAGTATCCATTGAAATATTAACATTTCAATAATTTTTCCTGCCCTACTTTTCCCTGTTGCTCTATGTGCCTGTTTAGACGCTGCCAGGCCATATAATGGAGTACTTAAGATACAAGCTTGAGAACAAATAGCTCTTACATGAGAATAGATAGATATGAGCATGAGAAGAATTCTTATACTGGAATTTTATAGGATGGAAAGGCTTCTGTATTATCTGTGCTGGGGTATGGTTCAGTGGTAGTGCTTGCTGGCATGCATTAGGCCCTGTGTTTGACCCCCAGCACTGCAAAAAACAAACAAGAATGACAGAAACAAAACAAAACAAAACAAAACATTTATTTAAGCGAGGTGCAGTAGTGTGTATCTGTTCTATCTATTTGGGAGACCTGAGCCAGGAACATCACTTGAGCCCAGGAGGTCGAGTCTAGCCTGGCAACATAGCAAGATACCGTCTCAAAAAAAGAAAAAAAAAAAAAAAGAAAAAACCAGTTACCTTAAGCTAGTAGTTTTGTCAAGTATTGCTATAAATTGTATTGCTGTTAAGACTATATAAAAGCAAAGCATACTTATTAATTATTCAATTGAAAAAAATTTAAAGAACATGTACTAATACATTGTTATATAAGTGAACTAATCAGGTATTGGCCTTTGGGGTAGAATAAGCTTTTTAAAGAAATCATTGGAAGCTATTTTGTTTTATGATTTCCTCAAATTTACATTCATTTACAAACAAATGTGTGGTTAATGAATTTGATTGAAAATATTACACCTGCTTAAATTAAGAAAAATATTATATCAAAATGAAAAATTACTGTTCACATTTTTATTATGACTTTATTTTAAAAGTTCCTCTTATGAATTAACTGTCAAGAAATCTAGTACAAGAAATAAAGGTCCTATGAAAGAGAAAGAGAATAGTGGCTTGTCTTGTCAGATTAAAAGTGAAAAACTATGCCAAAAACATATAGTAGTCTAAGAATACACATTCAAGATCTTTGCAGTGCATTAGTGAATAAAGACCTAATCTGCATAGCTAGCTGCTATATCTTAAAGTTAACAAACCATAGTGTCAATAATTTTACTTGTTATGTAGATAAAAGGGAGCTATTTTAGAATTCATATTAGGGAATCAACATCTGAAAAGAGAATTTTTAGATGAACAAGAGATACTAGAAATAGAAATGAATCATGAGAATATTGTACATCATCCATCCAAGAGAGCAAACAGTGGCATTAGAGCTAAAAGGAAGTAATGGCAGGAGATGATAAGTAGTTTGGAAGAACAGTAAAACCTTAAAGGAGACAAAAATCAAAGGGTGATACAAGTGACAATAATGTTTTAAGTAGGATTATTGGATTGACCATAGTACCATTGACCAAAAAAACCCAAAACAAAAACTGGTTTGGAGTAAAGGATCCATATAGAAAGGCACATAATGCACACATAAATGGTAAATATATGACAATTAAGCTTCATTGACTTGGCATGCCATTGTTGAAATATTATATTTGTTCATGTTTTCTATTAGATGTGTAAGCTCTGTGTGAACAGACACCACATTTTTGTTTGTTTTTCTGTCCCCAGTACCTTGCATGGTACCTGATACATAGTTCTCAACTGATACCACTTGAAGGAGAGTAGGAGAATTCCCAAGTCTCTGTGCCAGCTCAACTACTTAATAGCAGATTGACCATGGCAAGCTTTCTAACCTCTCCAATCTGCTATTTTCTTCTTTCTTTCTTTCTTTTTAAATTTTTAGTTATAGGTGGACACAATACCTTTATTTTATTTTATGTGGTGCTGAGGATCGAACCCAGTGCCTCATGTATGCTAGGCGAACGCTCTACCTCTGAGCCACGACCACAGTCCCTGTTTTCTTATTTATAAAATGAAGATCATCTTAGTGCCACATGTATCTACCCATAGTGTTCAGCCATGCAGAATTCTTAGAGCTATGCCTGACACGTGTTATGATGCAAATAAATGTTACTGATTACTTTTATTTCCTGACAATCATGGTTTTATGATCTGGCTCTGGGCTATACTTCCAAGTTTCTGTTCTGATATTAGTTTTTGCTATCCCTGCTGTCTGAAATGTTATCCGTTTATTTATTCAGTAAGTCATTGAATAAGTATTTTTTAAGGACTTGATATTTGCCTACTACTGTTTTTGACACTGTAAGACATTCTTTAGAGGACATGGGTATACAAAAAAGGGAAAGCAATTATAAAAGGTTATTTTACAGAAAGCAAGTAAGTGAAGAAAGTAAAACAGCTGTGAATTAAATAGTTACTTTGTTGGGAGTGGGAAGTTAAGGTTAATTTTAGAGTGGGGTCAGGGAAGGCCTGAAAGATATATTTGATCTGAGATCTAAAAGACAGGGGGCCAACCATTAGAAGACCTGTGACAGGGTATTCATTGCGGGTGATGAGTCCATCTTCTCTCTGCCTTTTAATTTTGTCTCTCAATTTTATTTCTTTCTTCTCTTCTTGATTGATAGGCATGGTTTGAAACAGAATAAGATCATTAGAGTTACCATGAGAATGAAAGAGAAGGAATAAATGACACTTTGAAAGGAAAAATGATTTTCTAACCCTGGACTAAGTAGTCTAAAATGTCAAATGACACATCATGGTTGTAGGGCCTTCAAGTCTAGATTCTGGACATTAGTAGAAGTGGAGTTTGCATAAATGGTTGTGGATATTCTGCTTTGAAGTCAATTCCAGGAATTGTATTTTTCATTGTCTCCCCAAGTTGTTGGTGGAATTATGAAGTGGAAATTTTTGTTGTCTTTGTTTTAATTTCAGTTGTCTATAAATGCTAAGTGGACCCTTCATTGTGGTGTAGTGAACCTTGGAAAGGGTATGTTTTAATATACAGATTTTATGGTTGTCGCCTAAATACGCATATGGTCAGAACATTTCAAATGGATAATTTTAGTTTTTGAGCATTTAAAGACATTATAGTGAAATCTAGGATGGCGAAAATGTATACTTGAACATTACAGGCATTTCCTACACATTTTATTTTAGAATTCTATATCCTTTCAGTTATTCCTAGAGTTCATCATAGTTATTATGTCTTTGAATGTATTGAAACATGTTTTTAAACTATTTGGCTTTCCTCTGGTAGACATAGTCTTTAAATCAGTCAATTTTGCCCTTATTTTAATAAGTTAATTAAAGATATTGTATCCAACTACAACTAAAAAATAAATATAGAATTTTTTTTGCCCTTATTTTGTTATCTGGAATAATCTACTCCATTTCTTACCTACGAATTGTGATCTTCATACACATTTTTTTAAAATTGGTACATTGTGATTATACATAATGGTGGGATTTGTTGTTACATAATCATACATGCATGCAATATAATAACACAGTTTGAGTGATACATTTTCCAATATTTCCCTTTTCATTTGCCTCCTCCCTCTTCCTAGTTCCTTTGTTCTATTGGTGATCTTTTTTTTTAGAAATGAAAAGTTACACTCTGCCCCACCCCCCCACCACTGATGATGAAGTATAAATTAGAGAACTGACTTGACTGACCATTTTATTTGTTTGTTTAACTTTTGTAAATTGTTCCTTATCTTGACTTGCCAAGAAGAGTCTAGTAATTAGCAAATTGAATTGTAGATGGTCTGACCCTTAGATAAGAGCTATTGAACCATAAGAGTATTGAGAATCTTTAGAACAAAACCCTGAGTTTAAGTGTGACTGTGATAATAGTATTTTTTCTGCTCTCCAGGTCTTATTCATTATCCCTTAGAGCTAATAATTTTCATCTTTTTATTATGTTCCTAATTTCTACATAATTAATTTCTGTTGGACTTATTACTATACTATTCCTTAATTTATAATACTAAAATTATTGTTCTAAAGTTGCAAGTACTATTCTTTAGTTTATAATCCTAAAATTATTATTATAAAATTGTAAGTTGTTTGTTCTCTTACTAATTTTGACTTGGTATCCAGTGATACTACATTTGTTTTTCAGGTATCTCAACACCCAGTTTATTAAAAAGAATAAATTGACTGAAGCTGACCTTCAGTATGGCTATGGTGGTGTAGATATGAATGAACCACTTATGGAAATAGGAGAGGTAATAAATTCTTTAACTACAAACATGATTTTATAAGTTGCAAACATGTTTTATCCAGGTATTTTTTTTTTTTTAGAGAGAATTTTTTTTAATATTTATTTCTTTTTTAGTTCTTAGCAGACACAACATCTTTGTTTGTATGTGGTGCTGAGGCTCGAACCTGGGCCGCATGCATGCCAGGCGAATGCGCTACAGCTTGAGCCACATCCCCAGCCCTGAGGTTTTTTTTTTTTTAAGGACACCAAGTTGACTGTCTTAAAACTGTCAAGATTTAAAACATTCGAAGGTTAAATAAAATACTATAATAATTTCCTAAGCATCTTTAGATAGATGAGAACAGAAAAGATGTTAAGTTGCCTGGGGTTGTGGTTCAGTGGTAGAGCACTTGTCTTGCACATGCAAAGCCCTGGGTTCGATCCTCAGCACCACATAAAAATAAATAAATAAAATGAAGGTATTGTGTCCAACTGAAAAACAAATATTAAAAAAAGAAAAGATATCTCATTATTTTAGTAATTATATTTATTTAAGAGAGAGAGAGAGAGAATTTTAATATTTATTGTTTTAGTTTTCGGTGAACACACATCTTTATTTGTATGTGGTGCTGAGGATCGAACCCAGGCTTCACGCATGCCAAGCAAGCGCGATACTCCTTGAGCCACATCCCCAGCCCAGTAATTATATTTATGATGGACAAATGATAAGAATTAATGATTCTGCAGTGTGGGGGGAAACTCATTACCATTATTTAGAAAATACTGACATTCTGGTAGGCAAAAAATAGAAAAAAAAAAGACATAAAAAGAGACTAGAAGAGAGAAAACACAAGTTTATGGATATAACAAATTTATTATAACTACATAGAAAGTAATTAAAATCAGAGTACAATAATGAAACGTTTAATTCAAGTAATTTATTTAGGTTCTTGGAGTATTTTGTACATTTAAATGTGAAAGAATTATATATAATGCATAAACTAATTTTGAAATACTCTTGTTCAAATTTATATAATACATATTTGAATAGTTAGACATTGAGGACAAAATTAGAAATAGACAGAAAGTCCCTGTTCACATGCAACTTGTAAGTTTAGGTGTGGGAAGCAGATGCCAAATAAGAAAATAATGTTAAATTGTGGTGTGAATGAAAGAAATAAACAGCTAACATGCAACGTTAGTAAACGTTTAGCATATTCCTTGGGGAAGAAAATTCATCAATGTCTTTTAGTAAGTTTTAAAATATTTAATACCTCCAAGTAATCTCATTCTAACAATTTGTCCTTGGAAGATAGATAATAAGTGGGAAAGAATTTAAATATTTAAAAGCAATCCTTGTAGTCATTTTTAATAGGACAGTTAGTTAAAAATCGTATATAGAAGAATAGATATAGTATGATTTTGTTAAAGGTAGACATATGAATAAAGTAGAGAAAATAGTTTATAGAAACATTAACAGGGGAAAATGGTTTATGAAAAAGTTTGGATACAACATTATATGTTTAACACAAATAAAATATAGGGAAAAAAGGAGGTAGATAAAAAGATCAGCAGAGAATACCAAAATCTTTTTTCCCCCATATTATTTATTTATTTATTTTAATTGTAGGTGGACATAATGCCCTTATTTATTTATTTTTATGTGATGTTGAAACTTGAACCCAGTGCCTCCCACATGCTAGGCAAGCCCTCTAACACTGAGCTACAGCCCCAGCCCTCCATGTTTGTATTGGTGCATTATAGTTGTATATATTGATGGGATTTGTTGTCACATTTTGTACATGCACACAAGAAAATACCAATATCTTTTATTTTTTTTAATATTTATCTTTTAGTTGTAGTTGGGTACAATACCTTTATTTTATTTATTTATATGTGGTGCTGAGGATCAAACCCAGAGCCTTGCAGTGCTAGGTGAGTGCTCTACCACTGAGCCACATCCCCATCCCCCAAAATTATTATTTTTTTTGTTCTTTTTAGCTATACATGAGAGTAGAGTGTATTTTGACATACATATATGGAGTATAACTTTTTCTAATTAGGATCCCATTCCTATAGTTGTACATGATATTGAGTTTCACTGGGAATACCAAAATCTTAACAGTAGCTGCTTTTAGTAGGATTATAAGTAAATATCTTATATAAAATGGTCCCTTATCACGAGTATTATCAAAACTGCTCCTCTTCCCAGAGGAAATCATCATAAACGGTTTGGTTGTTAGCTTTTCCAAGATTTACTTGTGCATTTGAATACAAATATTTCTGTATACACAAATTGCAGTTTCAATGTTACGTTTTAAAAAGAGTCCTATAACCTGTATTTTTTGCTGTTTTGATTTTTGGGGGTTAATGTGTCTGGGAGTTCTTTTAATATAATTTTTATGAGATCTTAAAACTTCAGTAATAGGGATATAGCATAACTTAGTTTCCAGTTTTTTGTTGTTACAAACAATACTGCAGTGAACATCATTGTTCACTTGTTTATTCATTAAATATTCTAACCCCTCTATGTGTCAAATACTGTTATATATGTTGAGAATATAGCAATGAACAAAACAGAAGAATCTTATAGTATGTGAACAGAAGTCTTCATAAAACATCCTGATTTTTTTTTTTAAAGAGAGACAGAGGAGAGAGAATTTTTTTAATATTTATTTTTCATTTTTCAGTGGACACAACATCTTTATTTTATTTTTATGTGGTGCTGAGGATCGAACCTAGTGCCCCACGCATGCCAGGCGAGTACATTACCGCTTGAGCCACATCCCCAACCCCATCCTGAATTTTTGATATATTTGCAACCTTTGCTTTCAGAAAGGTTTTATATATTTTATGTATTACTGTCCCCTGCCATTCACGCTATTTAAAAAGAAAGCAAAGACAAAACTTGTAAGTATTTTTTGTGCTTTTGCTTACTGTAAATGTAATTACCAATGGATCAGAATAATGTTACCCCAGGGAAAAAGAATAGGCCAGAAACAGCCTATATGTTAGAAACATAGAACAGTCAAGCCAAAAAGCAGTCAGTTTTTTAGTAATGTAATACTTACACTCTATGAGAAAAATATATTGACATTTAAAGGCTTAAACAAGAAAAGAAAACTTGGAAAACTTTTTTTTTTTTTTTTAAAGAGAGAGTGAGAGAGAGAGGGGGACAGAGAGAGAATTTTAACATTTATTTTTTCTTAGTTCTCAGCGGACACAACATCTTCGTTTGTATGTGGTGCTGAGGTTCGAACCCAGGCCGCACGCTCGCTAGGCGAGCGCGCTACCGCTTGAGCCACATCCCCAGCCCACTTGGAAAACTTTTGAGAAACAAAATAGGAGTACACATATTCCTGTGACCTTAGGGTAGGGAAGGATTTCTTTCTTTCTTTCTTACCAGATATTGAACTCAGGGTCACTCGGCCACTGAGCTACACATCCTCAGCCCCTTTTTGTATTTTATTTAGAGACAGGATTTCTCTGAGTTGCTAGCACCTCACTTTTGCTGAGGCTGGCTTTGAACTTACAATTTCCTCTCTCAGCCTCCTGAGCCACTGAAATTACAGTTGTGCAGATTGCAGTTTGTGAAACTGTGAAGGGATAAGTTTCTTCCATTTATAAAGAACTCCTAGGTTTCATTAAAAACAAGACAAACTTTAACAGAATAATGGGAGAAAATAAATGAGTGGACATTTCTCAGGAAAGAAAAATAAGATAGATAATAAACATAAAAATCTCAGCTTCATTCAAGCAGATGCCAGTTAAAACTGTAAGGAGGTGCTATTTTATGGCCAATAGATTAGCAAAGTTTGACTTAAGCCCTGCAGAAGCAGTTGTCAAGAATTTGGGCTAATGGGATAATAAAATATTTGAATCCTTAAAAAAAAAAAAAAAAAGAATTTTGGCTAATGGGAATTTTCATCTATTGGTATGTGGGTATAAATGGAAAAACCATTTGGCTTTATTTAGTAAAGTTGCATGTGTATCTAACCCTACAGCCCAGCATTTCTACTTTTAGGTATATATCAAGAAATCTCTTGCTTAGATGGGTCAGAACATAAATATAAAAATAAGCAACATTGTTCTCAATAGCAGAAAACTGGAATCACAAGCATAGATCATCAGTAATGCACTGGAAAAAATAAATCATGGTGTATTCAAATAATAGGATACTATATAGCAGTACCAATGTTCTAGGTATATGTATGTGTTTAAATTTGGATTGGTTTCAATGACAAAATATAGTTTTAAAAAAATCATGAAGAATATACAGTGAATGGCTGAAGTTCTAGCTCAGTGGTAGAGTGCTTGCCTAGCACTTGTGAGACACTGGGATCTATCCTTAGCACCACATTTGAAATAAAAAGTAAATAAAGATATTTTGTCCATCTAACTAAAAAATTAAAAAAAAGAATATACAATGATTTTTAAAATAAAGATCAGAAAAGGTCAACTTTAAATTATAATGCTTATTAGAACTTTAAGCAAAGAAATGATTTAACATAAAATTCAGAATAATGATAACTTCTGAGTGGAAAGGAAGAGGAAATTTGGGGCAACAATAATGTTTTATTTCTTAAGCTGAGTAGTGAGTACAGAGGCTGTTGTATTCTTTAAACCAACTTAAACTTTTTTTTTTTTAAGGTGTGAGATATTCAGTAATTGAACAAATATAGCCAACCCCAAACGAATTTATTCATTTTTGTTTGGTACTTGGTATTGAACCCAGGGGTGCTTAACCTCTAAGCCAAATTCCCAGCCCTTCTTATTTATATTTTCTTTGAGACAGGGTCTTTCTAACATGCTAAGGGCCTTGCTAAGTTGCTGAGGCTGGCTTTGAACTTATGATCCTCTGCTTCAGCATCCCTAGTTGCGGGATTTCAGGCGTGTACAATTGTGCCTGAGTCAAGTGAAATTATTTTATTTAACTTAAATCCTTTATTTCCGTTATGGTATTGTCTTCTATAGCCTGTCTGTAATACTGAGTATATAACAAGATTTTATAAAAATCAGTTATTTTTGTAAAATTTTCAATTAAAGTTAAAATCTTAATTTTGTACACATACAAGTCTGCTATGATGGTTATTGCCAAGTTGAATCATAAATTTATTATTTTCCTTTAAATTTTTCATTTCCTTCAGTTTTCATTTAAATTTTGGGTTAGTTGCTAATATTTCTTTTTGAAGGCTGGTTTTAATTTTTAAAAAAATCTTGGGTAAATGTTAAAAAATTACTAAGTAATGCAGCCTTAATGATTTTTATTTTTCCTGGCAGCTAGCATTGGATATGTGGAGGAAATTGATGGTTGAACCACTTCAGACCATCCTTATCCGAATGCTGCTTCGAGAAATCAAAAAGTGAGTTCTGATATTTAACTTCCTGAGTGTATTAGTCAGGGTTCTCTAGGGGAACAGAATGAAGAAGTAGTATAGTATAAAAAGAGATTTTACTGGGGGCTGTGTTTGTGGCTCAGCAATAAAGCACTTGCCTAACGCATGCGAGGCCCTGGGTTCAATCCTCAGCACTACATAAAAATATAATAAAGGTATTGTGTCCAACTACAACTAAAAAGTGAACATTTTTTTTTAAAAGTGGGGGGGATTTATTAGATTGGCTTATGCAACCAAAAGCTGGATAGTCCATAATGGGCAACTATAGGCTGAGACCTCGAAGAATTAGTAGCTGCTCAGTCCAAGAGACTGAAGCCCCAGAACAAGAGGGATCAATGGTGCTACCCTAGTCCAACACTGAAGGCTTTTGGAAACTCCCTAGAGAATCACTAGCAGAGTCTGATTTGGGAGAGTGAAGAAGCAAGCGTCTGATACCCCTAGATGATCGCAGTAGCAATCAAGAACCCGATTCAAGAAGAATCTAGCTTGCATTTGCTGCTGCTTTCTTGTTCTTCCAACTTTTATTTCATCCAAGCCATCATCCTATTGGCATATGCTTATGGAGGGTCTCCACTTCAGTTGGCTATCCCACATGGCCCAAATCATACCCAGAAGCCTCTTAATCATTGGCATCGTTTTTTTTTTTTTTTTAAATTGGCACATTATAATAGTGGGATTTGTTATATTCATATGCACACCCAATAAAACCATATAATTTGATTCATTTCATTCCTCAGTCCCTCCCTGTTCCCTCCCTTCCCTATCCCGATTCTCGCTTCTTCTTTTGTTTTTAATACTTATTTTTCAGTCGGACACAATATCTTTATTTTTATGTGGTGCTGAAGATCGAACCCAGGGCCTCGCATGTGCTAGGTGAGCGCTCTACCAATGAGCCACAACCCTAGGCCCCAATTATCTTCTTCCACTGGTCTCCCTTCTATTTTTTTTTTAATTTTTCTAATTAATTTTACATGACAGAAGAATGCATTTTGATATATTATACACAAATGGAGCACAACTTCTAATTCCTCTGATTGTACATGGTGCAGTCTCACCAGTAGTGTGATCATACATATATAGGCTAATAATGTGTCCCATTCTACCATCCTTCCCATCCCCACAGCCCCTCTCCTCCCCTCACTTCCCTCTGCACAATCCAAAGTTTTTCCATTCTTCCTTACCCCCCACCCCTACCCATGGATCAGCATTCTTTTATCAGAGAAACCATTCAGCCTTTGGTTTTTTGGGATAGGCTTATTTCACTTACCATGATGTTCTCTGGTTCCATTCATTTACTTGCAAATGCCATAATTTCATTTTTCTTTAAGGGTGAGTAATATTCCATTGTGTGTATATATGTACCACATTTTCTTTATCCATTCATCTGTTGAAGGGCATCTAGGTTGGTTCCATAGTTTAGCTGTTGTGAATTGAGCTGCTATAAACATTGATGTGGCTGAGTCACTGTAGTATGCTGATTTTACCTACCAACCAGGGAAAGCCTGGGACCAGGTGGACCTTCAGAGAAGAAGTAATATCAATACTCATCAAATTATTCCATGAAATAGAAAAGAAGGGAACCTTTCCAAACTCAATCTATGAGGCTAATATCATTCTGATACCAAAACCATATAAAAACACATCAAAGAAAGAAAACTTCAGACTAATATCCCTGATGAACAGAGATGCAAAAATTCTTAATAAAATTCTGTCAAATTGTATACAAAAACATATTAAAAAGATAGTGTACCTTGATCAAGTGGGGCTCATGCCAGGGATGCAAGATTGGTCCAACATACAGAAATCAGTAAACGTAATTGATCACATCAATTGGCTTAAAGACAAGAATCATATGATCATCTCAATACATGCAGTACAAGCATTTGACAAAATACAACACCTCTTTATGTTCGAAACGCTAGAAAAACTAGGGATAATAGGAACATACCTCAACATTGTAAATGCTATCTATGGTAAGCCCAAGGCCAACGTCATTTTTTTTTATTTTTTTATTTTTTAATTTTTTTTGTTATTGTTGGTCGTTCAAAACATTACATAGTTCTTAATATATCATATTTCCCAGTTTGATTCAAGTGGGTTATGAACTCCCAATTTTACCCTGTATACAGCTTGCTGTATCACATCAGTTACCCTTCCATTGATTTACATATTGCCATTATA